AATGCGATAAAAATTAATAAAAAATGATAAAAATTAATTAAGAAATGATAAAAATTAATAGAAATTAATAAACAAAAATTAATAGAAATTAATTAAAAAATGATAAAAATAAATAGAAATTGATAGATTAATAGAAATTGATAGATTAATAGAAATTGATAGAATATTAATAGAAATTAATAAAAAATTATAGAAATTGATAAAAATTTATATAAATTAATAAGAAAATTATAGAAATTGATTAAAAAATGATAAAAATTAATAAAAATTATTAAAATTAATAAAAAATCATAAAAAATATGAGAAATTAATTAAAAAATTAATAGAAATTGATAGATTAATAGAAATTGATAGAATATTAATAGAAATTAATAAAAAATTATAGAAATTGATAAAAATTTATATAAATTAATAAGAAAATTATAGAAATTGATTAAAAAATGATAAAAATTAATAAAAATTATTAAAATTAATAAAAAATCATAAAAAATATGAGAAATTAATTAAAAAATTAATAGAAATTGATATATTAATAGAAATTAATTAATAATAATAATAATCCCTAATTTTAACCCCAAAAGCTGAGCTTGTGCGGGGAAAGGGACGGCGGCTAGTATTATTATTTGCCGTTGCGCTCCGGGGCGACTTAAAGATGATTGATGGTGCTATTTGACGGTAACGCATGGTGATTTTTTATTTTCAATAATCTGGATGTCATATCAACAGAAATTAAATTTCTGCTAATATGGCATCCATCAAATCCTATAGAGAACCATGCAAATAAATTCACATGGGGTCTTCCGTAGGATCTGAAACTGAGTCTCGTTTAGCAGAAGATTGGTTGACAAATGAATGCCGCGTCGTAGACACCTACGCTATCGTAGTCGATAAAAAATGATAAAAAATTTATATAAATTTGGAGCGACGTAGAAATGTCTTCGATTGAAGAAGTAGTAGACGAAGAAGGGGAGCTGATGAAGTGACGCAGGACTATTGAGTTCATTCAAGACGAAAAATTGACATGGGACCATAAGAGAAGACAGTGATCGCGTATTTAACATAGAACATGTGCAGTATGAATAAATGTCGTTTATATGTCGTTTGCAGATGCGCAGTAGCATCGTCATCGTAAAGAGGACATTACCGTCTAACTTAGTTATTACTAAGTCGATTTGAACAAAACAAACGACATTCAGCATATAATGTCATTTACAACGAAAATACATGCGTAATATGAATGTCTCAAGAAGGATAAATATTTCAACTAAATTTGTCGGTATAATTTCAAAAAATTAGAAATTTTGTAATAATTCGTTTTAAATTTAAGTCCAAAAATTAAAAATGTTGATTTTAGGTTGTTTATGTTTCAGTAATATCCGTAATTAAAACTAAATTAACTATTCAAGTTTAGACATTTTTTTAAACAATATGTCTGCAAAAACAGGTTTTAAAATTCCTAATTAAGTTTTTTTTAATAATATATACATACCCGTTCCAATAGAAATCTGCCTATTAATTTAAAATTTGGGTTTTCCAGAAACACAGATTTAGTGATTTCATTAAAATTATAATGTAGTTACACGAAGAAAAAGTTAATATAATGTAAAAAACAAACATTGCGACATAGAAAAAAGTGTTTTGGTCTTTTGAAAATCTTTTTATATTAGTTTCACAAATTTTTCAAAGCTATTTAGGTATTTCTTGTAAAGACCATTGCTACTATACATTTTACGTCAAAAATACATATTATTAAAGTTAAAAAGCATACATTTTTCTACACATTTTATACTAAACTTTTTTCTATTAAACAAACATTAATTGAGTTAGAGCAAAAAGAAAAAACAAATTACGCATTTCCGATATACTAAAAAAACGATTTTGTATGTTTTTGAAAATTTCTTTATGTTGGTTACATCGTTATTTCTACAAGTTTCATTTGTCTTTTCAATTTGAAGACTATATAGGTATTTTTTGTAAATATTTTTGCTTCCATGCATTTTACGTCAAAAACACGTTATGAAAGTTATAAAGCATACATTTTTCTACATATTTTATATTAAACTTTTTTCTATTAGACAAAAACTAAGTGAGTTATTTGTAGTAATATTCTGTTAAACACAATATCGAAAAAATAATTACTTTTTTTTAAATATCATATCTTTGATTCGGTACGTTTTTAGATAAAAACTCCTATTATGAAAGCTGAAGATTATCAAAATTCCTTCAACTATTGTCCAAAACCTTTTTTAAAAACGAACATTAACTGAGTTGGAGCAAGTCAAAAATCGAAAAAACAATATTTTTCATCAGCATGTCCTGACAGGCTCGTATATTAAAATTGATCAGTAGGATTTACATTTTTCTTCGTGTAGCAAGATTACTAAATTTAACCCTCATAGATGTTATAAATTTATTGTTTTTAAAGTTTTCTTAGTGTAGAAATCCGGATTTTTACACCTAATTCCAAACGGAAACGAAAAAAAATTCCTCATCACTAGAACAATAATATTCTACCAAGAAACGACGCATTCACCGTATCTTCTGTATACACATCAAAACGATCCCATGGTTTTTCCAATGATCGCTTCTGATGCTGTCACTCATCGTTTTCGGAAATCTTTATTTAATAACACTTTTGTGGTTTAGTTTCCCTTTCTAAAAATTAATAAACAATCCTGTTTAATCACCTATATCGACGCAATAAAAAATACAATCCATTTTAACACGTAAAAAAATATTTGAAAGTTTTAAATACGTTCCATGAAAAATGTCGCCGATATTACCAAATTTAACCCTTATAGATTTTTTTTATAAAAATGTCCACCAAGATTTCCAAATTTAACCACATGGATATTTTTTTATAAAAATGTTCACCAAGATTACCAAATTTAATCCCATTGAGTTTTGAGGTTACTAAATTTTTTACAAAAATGTACACTAATACTTTCAAATTTAATACATATGGAATTTTTTTCATGGAAATGTCCACCAAGATTTCAAAATTTAATACTCAAAAATTATCTTCATAAGATTATCCAAGAATACCAATTTTAACTTCTTTTAAATGCCCACCAAGATTACCAAATTTAACCCACATAGATATTTTATTTTATAAAAATATCCATAAAAAAATTTGACCTCTGCACTTTTTTTATAACAATATTAACCAAGATTACCATATTTAACCCTCATTGATTTTTTATTAAAATCTCCACCATGATTACCAAATTTAACCCTCATAGGCATTTTTAATAAAGGTATCTTAAAAACAGTCCTTGAAATTTTATGTAATGAAGTTTTTTTAATTGATTTTTTATTAAAATGTCCACTAACATTTCCAAATTTAACATTCAGTCTTTTTTTATAAAAAAAATTCCCACCAAGATTGCCAGATTTAACCCTCATCGATTTATTTTAAATTAAAATGTCAAGCAAGATAATCAACTTTAACCCACATAGATTTTTTTATTTTATAAAAATATTAATAAAAAAATTTGACCTCTGCACTTTTTATTAATTTAACCACATGGATATTTTTTTATAAAAATATTAACCAAGATTACCAAATTTAACCCTCATCGATTTTTTTATTAAAATTTACGCCATGATTACCAAATTTAACCTTCATTGATTTGTTTATTAAAATCTCCACCATGATTACCAGATTTAACCCTAATAGGCATTTTCAATAAAGGTGCGTCTTGAAATTTTATATAATGAATATTTTTTAAAAAGTATTAAAATTCACCCAGATCTTTAATTGATTTTTTATTAAAATGTCCACTAAAATGTCTAATTTTAACATTTAGTCTTTTTTTATAAAAAAAAAATCCCACCAAGATTGCCAGACTTAACCCTCATTGATTTTTTTAAATTCTCATTCATTTTTTTTATAAAAATGACCAAGGTTACTAAATTTCCAATTTTCAAATTTTACTCATAGATTTTGTCCATAAAAACTCCAGAAAGATTACCATATTTAATCCTCAGACTTTTTTATAAAAAAAACCATCCACCATCCCCCCTTATTGATTTTTATTTAATTAAAATTTCGACAAAGATTACCCACATACATTTTTTATAAAAACATCCACAAGATTATCAAATTTAACCCTCATTGTTTTTTTTTTATTAAAAATGTCGACCAAGACTACCAGATTTCTACCAAGATTTTCAAATTTAACCCTCTTACATTTTTTTCATAAAAACTTCACCAAGATTACTAAATTTAACCCTCGCAGACTTTTTTCAGTAACAATTCCACAAAGATTACCAAATTTAACCCTTAGATTTTTATTTTATAAAAAAAAGTTCACCAGATTACCAAATTTAACTCCCATAGATTTTTATTGAAAAAAAAAAGCCCACCAATTTAATTTTCCGATAAGATTACCAAATTATACTTTTTTTATAAAAATTTCCATCAAAATTATCAAATTTAAACCACATAGATACTATTTATAAAAAGATTACCAAATTTAAATATCACAAAACTTTTCTCTTTCATAAAAATCTCTACCAAAATCAAGATTACCAAAGTTACCTTTCATTGACTTTTTTAATTTACAAAATTGCTTACAAAGATTAACAAATGTAACCCGACTTTTTATTTTATAAAAAAAGTTCCCCAGATTACCAAATTTAATTCCCATAGATTTTTATTGAAAAATTTTCCGATAAGATTACCAAATTTAATCATAAGTTTTTATAAAAAATTATCAAATTTAAACCACAGACATTTTTTATAAAAAGAATACCAAATTTAAATATAATAAAACTTTTCTATCCAAGATCAAGATTACCAAATTTAACTTCAATTGACTTTTTTAATTTACAAAATTGCCTACAAATATTACCAAATTTAACTAACTCTCATAGGCTTTTTATTTTATAGTTTTCCACCAAGAGTATCAAATTTATCTTTCACTTTTTTGAAAAAATGTACACCAAGATTACCAAATTTTGTAATTAATGCAGCAAACATAAAACCAACGACTTACCCAAAAAGTTCCACTGGTCAAAATCGCACGACTGATGCACGTTTCCTTGATAGCTGAGTCCCAATTGATCCCGTTCTTGCTCGTGAAACGGTTCCACGATAGCTTTGACCGACCTGGGATCGTTCCTTCTAGCAGCTATATGAAGCGGCGAATCTCCTTGGGGTCCCCTGGGACAAGGTTTCGCTCCCGCCACTCGCAGCCATCTCGCGATCTTCCACTGACCCGTTTCCACCGCTAGATGTAGCGGCGTTTGGTTGTCATCGTTGGGGATGTCCAAAAGCTTGGGATGGGGTACCGCGCGGATCAGCGCTAGGGCCACTTCGAGGAAACCGTGGGCTATGGCCATGTGGAGATGTCTGCAACAATTGAAAATTATATAAAAATTGGACGCTTTCGTTATTATAATTATCATTTGATTAGTAGATTGAATCGTAACTTTTTGGTGGAATGAACTCGGCAGCGAGCAATTAAATGTCGTAAAAACTTTCGAGAAACACGCCACGAATTTGTGGAATTTCCAACAGTAATTTAGAACAATATACAATGCAAACGTTACGGTGTAGTCTTTGAATTCATTTTAGATTGCTTAATCCCACATAAAATATATTGTTTTTTAAAGATACTGGTTTAAAATCGCACGATGGGTTTTTTAGCATTTGTTTACGTGTCGTTTTATTTTCGGTAACATGTATTTTTATTTGAATTTAATTTTGTCGTAACCATTTTAAATCAAATTACTCAAAAATATCTCTGTTCCACTACATTTTTCATTATAAAATCTTATTATAAAAGTTATAAAGGTTAAAATTTCTTACTTCCGTTTGAAAAACATAGTAAATGTTATTATTATAGTTGTAAAATTTAATAAATGTATCAAACATTTCCTTCCTCAATAAGTTGAATGTAAACAAGTACATAGATATTCAAATTAGGTGTATGCAAATATTTCTCCAAGGTTAAAATCTCTTAGAAATTGGTTCTTGCTTGATCAGAGATGCACGCCTACACAGATGATCATTTTTTATTAATAATAATGACTGTACTTGCCTTATTTGTGACTTAGCAATAAAATCGCCATTAGACAGCACGAACACTCCAGAAAAAGGCGCGGAGTGTCAAAATATATTAGACAATCTGAGGACCTACTTCTAATTTTTATTAAATTATTTTAAAGTAATATAAATAACATTAAAGGTCATCTGAACCATCTGTTTTTTTTTATAAAATGTAAAAATACAAATTATTAACATTTCAAAAATTATACATAGCAGGTACACTCAATATAGATCTTAATTTAAAAGTAGAAGAACTCAAATTGCACCTTAAGATTATTTTAAAAGTAGGCCCTTTTCGAATTTAAAAAAAGTCATAATTCTACAGATTTCAACTTGATTTAAGATAAAAAAGTACACTTCTTAATATACAATGTAAGCGAAAATCCCTCGAATCCGTCAAACGGGGTGAAATTAACCCCTAAAATAAAAATAAATAACTTTATGAAAACGATCAGATCTCAGCTTGATCATAAATCATAAAAACACCAAATATAGTAAAAGGAAAAGGATGGACACCTTCTCCATGGGTAATAGTTTTTTGTTGGCCAATTACATATTCCAGGTCTTAAAAAAGTTTTAAAATGGAGTAATAAACAAATTTGAAGCAAAATGATGACATCATCTTCTTGGGTAATATTTTTTTTATCGAATTACGTATTCCAGGTCTCAAAAAGGCTATAATTGTAGTTTTGAACAAATTTGAAGGAGTATGATGGACACCATCTCCATGGAACATATTTTTTTGTTGGTAAATTACATACTCCAGATCCTAAAAGGACTCTAAAATATAATAATAAACAAATTTAAAGGAAAATAATGGACACTTTCTCCATGGGTAATATTTGTTTGTTGGGCAATTACATAATCCAGGTCTTAAAAGGCTTTAAAATGTGGTAATAAACTAATTTGAAGCAAAAATAATGGACATCATCTTCTTGGGTCATATTTTTTGATGGCAAATTACATACTCCAGGTCCTAAAAGGCCTCTAAAATATAGTATAAAACAAATTTAAAGGAAAAGAATGGACACCTTCTCCATTGGTAATATTTTTTGTTGGCCATTTAAATGCTCCAGGTCTTAAAATGGCATAATAAACAAATTTTAGGCAAAATGATAGAAATCATCTTCTTGGGTGGTATTTTTTTTATGGAATTACGTATTCCAGATTTCAAAAAAAACTATAATTGTAATTTTGAAGAAATTTGAAGCAATATGATGGACACCATCTCCATAGGTCAAATTTTGTTGTTGGCGAATTACGTGCCCTAGGTTTTAAAATGCTTTAGAACGCAGTAATGAGTTAATTTCAAGCAAATTAATAGACATCATCTTCTTAGGTCTTATTTTTTGTTGGCAAATTACATCTAAAGGTCCTAAATGGCCTCTAAAATATAGTAATAAACAAATTTAAAGGAAAAGGATGGGCACCTTCTTCATGTGTAATATTTTTTGTTGGCCAATTATATACTCCAGGTCTTAAAAAGGCTTTAAAATGGAGTAATAAATAAATTTGAAGCAAAATAATAGACATCATCTTCTTTGGTAATACTGTTTTTATCGAATTACGTATTCCAGGTCTCAAAAAGGCTATAATTGTAGTTTTGAATAAATCTGAAGCAAAATGATGGACACCATCTCCATGGGTCATATTTTTTGTTGGTGAATTACGTGCCCTAGGTCTTTAAAATGCTTTAAAACGAAGTAACGAGTTAATTTCAAGCAAATTAATGGACATAATCTTCTATGAGTCATATTTCTGTTAGCAAATTACATACTCCAGGTCCTAAAAGGCCTCTAAAATATAGTAATAAACAAATTTAAAGGAAAAGGATGGACACCTTCTCCATGGGTAATATTTTTTGTTGGCCAATTAAATGCTCCAGGTCTTAAAAAGGCTTTAAAATGGTTTTAACAAACAAATTTTAAGCAAAATGATAGACATCATCTTCTTGGGTAACATTTTTTTATCGACTTACGTATTCCGTTTCTTAAAAAGGTTATAATTGTAGTTTTGAACTAATCTGAAGAAAAACTATGGACACCATCTCCATGAGTCATATTTTTTTGTTATTGAATTACGTGCCCTAGGTCTTTAAAATGCTTTAAAACGAAGTAATGAGTTAATTTCAAGCAAATTAATGGACATCATCTTCTTGGGTCATATTTTTTGTTGAAAAATTACATACTCCAGGTCTTAAAAAGACTTTAAAATGGAGTAATAAACAAATTTTAAGCATATTTTTTACACGTCTTAAAAAGTTCTTATTCACGATTGTTCATCTTATTATTTGTTGCATTTAAAAAAAAAACAAACTAATGAAAACCATTATTAATATTTTTTGTACCTAATGTTACTTTATTTTTATTTATAACAATACTTTATTTTTAAAATAAACCTTTTGCCATGCATCTCTGTTATTCAAAATCTGAAATAAAAATAACAACACAAATGCGATGAGTAACTCTGAATCTATTCAGTTCACAGAGAGACTGTATGATAGACCTTTGGTGTATTTATATAATCGTAGATATTTTTAGACGTCGCAGGATAGAAACTGTAGTTATTTCGGGTAGGGCGTACATAAATAAGAACATGCATCGTTCAGGAAGATCCACAACTATTACAGGAATGTTCATACTAAACCATTATTTGATTAGACATTTAATTAAAGGTTATAAATTTAACTTCTTACATTTGATGATTCAGTGCCTGTTGCGTTAATAGTCAAAGAAGTAGTTGTTTTCCTTATTTTTATAAATGTAATTGCTTGATAATAAAAAATAATTCAATTCAAAATTATATACACCCCGATATGTTTTTAAATAAATAAAATTCCTTCCTTCATTATTTTTAATGAACAGCTGAAGACTAATTAAAAACAACAGTTAGAGAGATTGACGTGTACGAGCAAATAGTAGTTTTTTTTTACAACGAACCATTAAAATTTCATATAAATTTACTCATACATATGTATCTGTATGCGTAATTATCAATAATTAATAGTAAGATAATAATTTCTAGTAAATGAAAATAAAGTGTTGTGAATCTTCAGTTCAAGGTTGAAAAACAAAAAAATCGAAACTAGTTGGTGAAATTATCACCGACGACAATAGTGACACAAAACTCAAAAATAAACGTTATCAGTATTAAAGTTTTAAATATTTAAATTTTCATGTTTCAAATGTTATTTGAATAACATTAATGGATACAGAATTTGTATAGTCTGTTCAGTTAATTTTTGTTTTTCAGAAAAAAAAAAAAAGATTTTAAAGATATGTCACTATTGTTGAATCGAAGTGTCACAGTCAATATATAAAAACACAGCTGTTATACTGGCACATTTAATGAAATTGATCGAAAATGGAATAACTCAAAATATGCCACTAATGATTAAACAAAACGTTGCGATCTACTCATTTGTGTCACTATTATTAAAAATAAGCATCTTTCTAGACGGAATACATGTTATGGCATAGCAACAAATTCGCCATCTTGAGAAGATTCTCGACTAATTTCAAGTCAGTATTGTTGGATGAAACAAATTTTAAATAGAATGCAAAGCGTTTTAATGAAATTTTTTTTTTTTTTTGAGATATGTTTGCCACTGTGACACCATCTCATTGGGTAACATTTTTAGTGGATAACGTGCTCCAGGTCTTAAACAGGCTTTAAGATGAAATAAAAAGCAAATTTGAAGCAAAATGATAGGGGTCGTTTTTTTTGTTGGTGAATTTTATGCTCCCAAGTTTTTAAAACGTAATAATAAATTAATTTTAAGCAAATTGATGGAAATTATCTTTATGGGTAATTTTTTTATTGCGTACTCCAGTTCTTAAAATGTAATAGTAAAAAAATTTGAAGAAAAATGGACATCTCCATGGATCATATTTGTTGTTGGCGAATTACGTACTGCAGGTCTTAAAAAATCTTTAAAGTGGAGTAATAAACAAATTTGAAGCAAAATGATAGACACCATCTCCATGGGTCATATTTTTGGTTGGTGAATTACGTGCTCTAGGTCTTTAAAACGCTTTAGAACGTAGTAATGAATTAATTTCAAACGAATTAATGGACATCATCTTCTTGGGTAATAGTTTTTGTAAGCGAATTGCATACTCATGGTTTCAAAAAAGGTCTTGAATTTGAAACCAAATGATAGACATAATCTGCTTGTGTATTTTTTGTTATTACATTACGTAGTCTAGGTTTCAAAAATGCTCTAATTGTAGTAATGAACAAATCTGAAGCAAAATGATGGACACCATCTCCATGGGTCTTATTTTTTTGTTGGTAAATTACGTGCCTCAGGTCTCTAAAATGCTTTAGAACACAGTAATGAATTAATTTCAAGCAAATTAATGCACATCATCTTCTTGGGTATATTTTTTGTTAGTAAATTACTTACTCCAGGTCCCAAAATTACTCTTAAATATAATAATAAACAAATTTAAAGGAAAAGAATGGATACTTTCTCCATGGGTAACATTTTTTTTTTGTCGAATTACGTACTCTAGGTCTTGAATTTGAAGCCAAATGATAGACATGATCTTCTTGGGTATTTTTTGTTATTACATTACGTAGTCTAGGTTTCAAAAATGCTCTAATTGTAGTAATGAACAAATCTGAAGCAAAATGATGGACACCATCTCCATGGGTCTTATTTTTTTGTTGGTTGGCACGTGCCCCAGGTCTCTAAAATGCTTTAGAACATAGTAATTAATTAATTTCAAGCAAATTAATGGACATCATCTTCTTGGGCATATTTTTTGTTAGTAAATTACTTACTCCAGGTCCTAAAATGACTCAAATATAATAATAAACAAATTTAAAGGAAAAAGATGGATACTTTCTCCATGGGTAACATTTTTTGTTGTCGAATTACGTACTCTAGGTCTTGAATTTGAAGTCAAATGATAATCTTCTTGGGTAATATTCGCATTACGTAGTCTAGTTTTCAAAAAGGTTCTAATTGCAGTAATGAACAAATGGACACCTTCTCCATGGGTAATATTTTTTTGTTAGAAAATTACATACTCCAGGTCTTAAAAAGGCTTTAAAATGGAGTAATAAACAAATTTGAAGAAAAATGGACACCATCTACATGTGTTCCAGGTCTTTAAAACGCTTCAGAACGTAGTAACGAATTAATTTCAAGCAAATAGATAGACATCATCTTCTTGGGTAAGTTATTTAGAGTGTGTCATCTAGATTAGTAAATTTGACAGTGGCTTCCACATGTAATTACATACTTCTACCTTCACACTGACATAAAACGTGGACTGATGTTTCCTCTTCTTCACAGAACCTGTACAATGTTGCAGCTTTGTTGACACCGGTAGGAAAATGTTATCCTTAAAGATTTGTCGTTTTTTACTGTTCCTGTCTCAATTCCGGATAGTTCTGAGATTCTTGCATCCATTGTTTGATGGATGCAATTCACAATACCTTAGCAACCACCAAAGAAAGGTTTGGGGCCTTATTTGAGCCTTCTATCGGCCTTTTCATTTCTCCGATATCTTTCGTCACTTTGTTTTGACATCCAAGCCCTATCACGTCATCTAGTCACTCTCACCAGTCGTAAGTTGTTATCTGGTAATATAAATGCCTTTAGAACTATTTGACTATCAAAGTAGACAGCAATAGTATTTGCCTGTTTTATACTAATAACTAAAGAAAAATTAGATAATTTTACTTATTTATTCGATAACTGTACCAGCTATGATTTATAATATATTAATTAGATACTTCAAAGTAATCTATTTCGACAGTGCTACTTGAAATCATCTTAGGAATCCCGGTAAAACCGTTTGCCCGACGTAGGCAATCAAAACAAAAATTCCAGACGTTATTATTTTAGGGATTTTCAAAGAATTCGGGTTTTTACGACAATCTGTAGAATTCGACATCCACTTAAATACCATTTAAAGTTAAGAACATCGTTAAATGCCTATGGATTAATTTTTTGGTACGTACTTTTAAGGTACTTAGGTAACAGGTAGACACATCAATGTACCTGCCCGATTACTAAAGGGTTTATCAGAGTAAAATAAACTAGATGGTTGGGTTCTGTAATAATTATTGTTGTTGCTAGGAGCTAGTTATAGGAATATTATATTACGAACTTGATATAATTGAATGCAAAGTACAAAATACATTATTTTTAGCAAGGAGAAACAGTTAGAAATGAATTGCTGTACTTTTTATACTAAATAATTGAATGGCAAACTTTTTGTGAGACGTAAAAGTCTCATCTTTGAGCTTTGATTTGAGACAATTTGTGAAATATTTTGTCAATATTAATTTACACAAAATATGGTGCTTGGATTTTTTGTTTAAAATAGTGATATCTAAAAGTAGGTAACCTTAGTTTCTTCATAAGCGAAAAGAGCTCAAACTAGACAATGACCAAACATTTGATAAATATTTACATGAAGAATAAGTTGCAAAAGAGTAAAATTTTAAATAATATTATTTTTACAACTCTAGGATCTGTATTGTTTCAGAGCAATTTTGAGACTTTAACCTAAAAATGTAATAATTGCTTGAGTTTGTTATTTAAATTATTCTACAAAAATACAGCGTTATACGAAAAGCTTGTAAAAAATGCAAGATAGTCGGCCGAGAGCAAATGAAAGGGGGTCATCAGGACATCGAATGTAACCAATATACAAATTTTTAGCTTTGTTCTAATTTTTCACAGGCAAATCAAATCTATTATTAATATTTTTTGGTGGCGAATTATGTACTGCTGCTCTCAAAAAGCCCCTAATATTAGTAATGAACAAATTTGTAGCAAAATGATGGACACCATCTGCATGGGTCTTATTTTTATGTTGGTAAATTACATGCCCCACGTCTTTAAAATGCTTTAGAACGTAATAATGAATTAATTTCAAGCAAATTAATGGACATCATCTTCTTGGGTCATATTTTTTGTTGGCAAATTACATACACCAGGTCCTAAACGGACTTTAGAATACAATCATAAACAAATTTAAAGAAAAAGGATGGACACCTTCTCCATGGGTAATATTTTTTTTGGCGAATTATGTACTCCAGGTCTTAAAAAGGCTCAAAAATTAAGTAATAAACGAATTTTAAGCAAAATGACAGACATCATCTTCTTGGGTAATATTTTTGTTATTGAATTACGTACTCCAGGTCTCAAAAATGCTCTATTTGTAGTAAGAAACAAATTTGTAGTAAAATGTTGGACACCATCTCCATGGGTCATATTTTTTTGTTGGTAAATTACGAGCCCCAGGTCTTTAAAATGCTTTAGAACGTAATAATGAATTAATTTCAAGCAAATTAATGGACACCATCTTCTTGGGTCATATTTTTTGTTGGAAAATTACATACTCCAGGTCCCAAAATGACTCTTAAATATAGTAATAAACAAATTTAAAGGAAGAAGATTGACACTTTCTCAATGGGTAACATTTTTTGTTGTCAAATTACGTACTCTAGGTCTTGAATTTGAAGCTAAATAATGGAATTTTCTTGGGTAATATTTTTTGTTATCACCTTACATAGTCTAGGTTTCAAAAAGGCTTTAATTGTAGTAATTAACAAATTTGTAGCAAAATGTTGGACACCATCTTCATGGGTCATATTTTTTTGTTGGTAAATTACGAGCCCCAGGTCTTGAAAATTCTTTAGAACGTAATAATGAATTAATTTCAAGCAAATTAATGGACATCATCTTCTTGGGTCATATTTTTTGTTGGCAAATTACATACTCCAGGTCCTAAACGGACTCTAAAATACAGTAATAAACAAATTTAAATGAAAAGGATGGGCACCTTCTCCATGGATATATTTTTATTGGCGAATTACGTACTCCAAGTCTTAAAAAGGCTTTAAAATACGGTAATATATAAATTTGAAGCAAAATGATAAGACACCATTTCTTCCATAGGTAATTTTTTGTTATCGAATTACGTACTCTAGGTCTTTATAACGAGTAATGAATTTCAATCAAATTGATAGGTAATATTTTTTGTTACAATGCTTTAAAATGTAATAATATTTCTTGGCCTAAAAAAACAATCGCCTTTGTACTAATCTAATATTACTAAAGTATGTGCTAAATATGAATCAAATTTTAAATATAATCGTTACTATTGCTGTAAGCATAATCAGAAATCTTTATCTTGAATTGATAATGAAAATCGTAAGTCAAACTTATCATGTTACGCCTCTGTTCAGTAATAGATATTTGCACGCATGCACTGTATCGGGTCACCTAACCTCTGAACCCATTCAAAGGCCATTTAAAAATGAAAATTAACACATAAAAATACAAGATAAATAAAATTTACTTACGTATCTCCTTCTTCATCTTGTTCGTAATAAGCCCTCCACGGAATATCATCTGAAGCCTTGTTTTTGTTGGGTTTGATAGAATCAACAAGTGGCTGGGGTTTATTCCTCGGATTATTTAGGTCATTTAAACCTGCTTGTTTTTCTTTGATGCTGATTTTGGAAAAACTCTCCGTCAAACACACGCCGCTGTCCAGCAACATTGGCACGGCCTTTTTTTCGTCTTCTTCTTCGGGAATGGTATCGGTGATGTTATGTTTTTTGTGATCCTCGATTACGCCAGAATCGATGATTTCCTCGGATATTTCCTCAGATAATTCCCCAGATATGAATCCGCTGTCGGTTCTCGACGATTCATAAAAGTCTTTCTTGTCGTCGCTAGCCGAAGCATCTGCAAAATCGTGTTGTTTAGACATTTTCGAACTATTCAATATGGCTACAGAAATACGAGATCGTCACTGTGTTTTAATTAAGTTTATAAAGGTTCGTAAACGCGCGTATAATTTATAAAGGGGTTAAACACTATTTCGAAAGGGTTACTCGGTTTCAAAACATTCGTAAAATCGTTAATTCGACACTTATATACTTCCACACTTCGACTCGTACACTCAATTACTGAAAAGAGAATGGAACGTGGGTTTCTAAACAGAATATTTCGGGATTCCCTGTACATGCGCAGTAGAGGTTTGTAGCTGCGACGTTGCCAGGGTTATGGGGTTTCCTAAATATTAGTATATTGCTAAATAGGAGAAATTTGAAGATAAAAGGATTTTTTCTACGATTATACTGAAATAAATCGAGTTGAGATTCTCAAATTGATTAGTAAACGTAATTAATAATAATAGTCTCCTAATTCACCCCTTACGAGTAAATTTCAATTATTATTTGCCATGGATAAGGACTTTTTATTTCGCACTATAGTAACATTTTTTTTTAAAGCAATTTTTGAGTTATTTAAACATGGAAATTAGTGGCACTGAGTTAGAATTAACACCTATGAACATTATAAAAGCAGCAAATAATGCAATACCCGATAATGGAGGAGAGTTTGGAAGAGCAGAGGTTATTGAAATTGTATAGAACAAGGCCATATATTAGCAAGAGCTAATGGATGAAGTGAGGTTTTGTTCGTCAAAAGTGTTACAGTTCTAAGTTTTTACTTCTTGATTAGACTATAGATTATAGTTTGCTAATTTAACAAGTAACTTTGCAAGTAACTTAACTCGGAGGTGAAAAAAATCTTATTTTATAAGTTAAGTCTTATTTGAGCCATTAAACAGCTTGAGTAAATTTTCTCTAAATATAAAGCGTAATTACTTACTAAAGACGGTGACGTCTAACAGTTTATAGCACCAAAAAGATCTAAAATCTTCACTGGACTAGATTGGTGAGGTTTTGTTAGTGAAAAGTGTTAAAGTGTTCTATAAGGACCTTAAACAACTTGAGAAAGTTATCTCTAAAGGGGCGTTGTATCTAAAATTTGTAATATTATGGATCGAAAATATCCGAAATATTTATTTATTTATTAACGGGTCTAACCCCATTATACAGAATTGTATAGCAAAGTTCACGAGATACAGTCATATTTAAGAGGTACCAAATATTTCAGAAATCAATAGATAATCTTTACAAAAATTTTTACATTTTGTCAAACATTTTATATGAATTTTTAATGATTCTTTTTTTTTTATTTTAAGAGTCTGTTACAAAATTTTATCATAAAATATAACATGTGCAAATATTTTTCGCATTTTTTCAATCATTCCAAGTTATAATATTATTTAAAATGTTTGAAATTCTACAAATTCTCCCATATTGTATATGTATTACAATTCATAAATACTAAAGCAAGTCAACGTGTAACTTTGGCAACCCCGCGTCCTGCTGTTCGCTTACATTCATGATCACTACAGTGACGTACTGGTATTTAAAAACTTTCTAAGTTTGATAAATCGTTCAACCATAATAGCGTGGAGCCTGGGTAGTTTGTTATTTTTTGGAAACATTAGGAAATTCCGTCATAATGCAACGAAGGCATTTTTATCTGTAAAAAAATGATGTACCTTTCCGTAAATTTTTGTTTAGTCATAGGAGAAAAGTATTGCGATATGTGTATCCCAAAAAGTTTTATATAAATGAGAAAAAATTTATCATAAATTTCACAAAATTTTTCTTCATAAAATTTTCTATATCACTTAAAAATCCATAATAAAGTATCAAAGAAAATAAAAAATAATGATTTATAATTAAAAGAAAAAATGTCAATAGATATAAAATAAAATATCTTTGGGACACACTGTGTTTCAAAATGAATCATTTTTTTCAATCCCTTTTAAAATCGTTTTTCGTTAAATGAAGTAACAAACAAATATGAAGCAAAATGGTAGACATCATCTTCTTGGGTAATATTTTTTGTTATCGAATTACTTCAGATTTAAAGGAAAATTATGGACACCATCTCTTTGGGTACTATTTTTTGTTGGCGAATTACGTACTCTAGGTCTCAAAAAACTCTAATTGAACAAATTTAAAGCAAAATGATGGACACCATCTCCATGGGTCATATTTTTTTGTTGGTGAATTACGAGCTCCACGTCTTTAAAATGCTTTATAACATAGGAACCAATTAATTTCAAGCAAATTAAGGGACATCATCTTCTTGGGCCATATTTTTTGTTGGCAAATTACATACTCCAGGTCCTAAAAGGACCCTAAAATATAGTAATAAACAAATTTAAAGGAAAGGGAAGGGCACCTTCTCCAAGGGTAATATTTTTTGTTGCCGAATTACGTACTCCAGGTCTTAAAAAGGCTTTATAATGGAGTAATAAGCAAATTTGAAGCAAAATGATAGATATCATCTTCTTGGGTAATATTTTTTCTTATCGAATTATATACTCCAGGTCTTAAAAAGGATCCAATTGTAGTAATGAACAAATTTGAAGCAAAATAATGGACACCATCTCCATGGGTCATACTTTTTTGTTGGTGAATTGCGTGCCCCAGTTGTTTAAAATGCTTTAGAACGTAGTAAATAATTAATTTCAAGCAAATTAATGGACATCATCTGCTTGGGTCATATTTTTTGTTGGAAAATTACATACTCTAGGTCCTAAAAGGACTCTAAAATATAATGATAAACAAATTTAAAAGAAAATGATGGACCCCATCTCCATGGCTCATATTTTTTTGTTGGTGAATTACACCCGAGGTCTTTAAAATGCTTTATAATGTAATAATATGGGTAATATTTTTTATTACGTAATCCAGGTCTTAAAAGGCATTAAAATGTAGTAATACATTTTTTTAAGCATCTTTATGAGTCTAATTTTTTGTGCTCCAGTTCTTTAAGAAATATAAAACAAAATATCTTTGGGATATAATGGGGTCTATTCTGTAAAAATTCCTTTATATTTAACGGCCTTTAAAAATATTGGCGGCCTTTAAAAACATTTTCGTATTCGTTAATTTACTTCTGTCATTATTTAAACAGATTTCTTTAAGATAGTCCTCTAATGTATATTAAAGATCCGTTTAAATAGTGACCGAATTAAAGAAGAAAATATTTTTAAAGGCCGTTAAATATAAAGGAATTTTTACAGAATAGACCCCACTGTGTTTCAAAATGAATGAGTTTTTGAATCCTTTTTAAAACCGTTAAATATGCAGAACAAATTATAGACGGTATGTGCGTTAAATTCATCTGCCTTCTTTCCTATTAATAAGATATTTTCAAAAATATTGTGAAAATTAGTACAAAATTAAACGTTTCTGTTAAAGTTTGTTCACTAAAACCTAAATTACCTCTATAATAAATCTCTTTACCAATTTTTGATGTAGTTGGGAGCCACAGAAGAGAAAACGACCTTCAAGAGCAAAAAAATATTCAACATTATGTAACTGATTTTGGAACTAGATCATTTTGACACTTGCTGCGATTACAAAAAATGTCACTAGGTGTGATTTTTAACAGACGACAAGCAGCGACACAGACGTTCAGTATCAAAATAGAGGTGGAAGAAGTAGTAACGGTGTTGTTTTATTCTGTTCGTCGGCGAAAAAAATTGAAACGACGTAGGTACTGGGTTCTTCCATTATTTATAGACCCTTATGTAAAAGGCGCATTTAATTTATTACATAAGGATTTACGTCAACACGAAGATAAGTTCTTCAAATATTTCAGAATGAGAGTAGTGTTATTTGACGAACTGCTAGCGGAGATTCCCGAACAAATATTTTTTTCGCTATTTTATTTCAATTGACTGTTCGATATTTGAGGTCGTTGTTGAATATCGGATATAAATGCATCTTTATCAATACAACTGTCGGACATTTTTTCACTGGAACTGTCGAAAAGTTAACAGGAAACTCCAACTCTCAACTGGCGTTTCGCACGCGACTTGACGTTTGTATGAGTGATACTCCATATGAATCCATGATAACGCTGGCCGCGTGCGGCAGGAAAATCGCGGGCTTATCATTTCTAATATTCAGCCGCGTGCGACCACGCGACAGAACCGCGTTAATGGACTTTGAGTCATTTAAAAACATCTAAAGTATTGCCGCGCGCGATGCCTCGCGATCAGTCGCACGCGACGTGTTTTATAATGCAAAATTAGAAAAAATCTATTTTAAGTATATTTTAGAATATCAATAATAATTTCTCTGAAATGTGGATGAGTTACTTGTATTTTTTGACAGCTCTGCAGCTCTACAGCACCAGCCTTCACTGGGTCTGATGACTTACTTACACTTAACTTTAAATAATAAATTAATAATGCAATCCAAAAATATAAAATAGAAAAATAAAACTAAATTTAATGATAAAAAAAAACGTATTTCATCGCCTCACTGCGGATGACGTATTTTAGCACAGTACTGGGATGTCCACCGTCTGTCAGAGTACACCACATCGAAAGGGTTAAAGGTTACTTTTGATTTTGGTTACCTAGTATTTAACAATCATGTCGTCTGTTGTCATCGACCACAAAATTGTGTATCTTAAATCAACAAACATGCCTTATGTATCCCAGGAAAAACCACCTAACAATTTTTCAATATTTATTATACTAAAATTTCCCAGTTAAAGCCATAACGTTATTGAGGATAATTCCAGTTTAATTTAAAACAATATCGCCAGGGAATTCCTGGCCGCAAATGATTTAGTACGATAGCAAGTGAGTGCACAATGATAAGCCTTACAATGGAAGTTATAAGCTTATCAGAAAAATCAATAGATTTATTGATAATATGAAGCGGGTTCTTAAAAATAAAACCCAGTTGCTGTACCTAGTTATCTTTGAAAGTATGTCAAGGCATATATACTTATGTGGGTTGGAAATTAAAATAACCATGTAGGTTTTTTCTTTATTAAAAAGTTACTGAATAACAATAATTCAAAATCAACCAACAAATACTTAAAAGTTTTGAACTAAAATCAAATTTAATTGCGATTTGGATGAATTTGATTTAAATATTCTAACAGAAATTTCAAAAACTAAAATGTTATTCCTCTAAGTTTATTAAAAAAGCAAAAATTAACCAAACAATAAACCAATAATCAATCATTCAAAATTTTTTTCTGCATTTGGTTACTTCAAATTCTTTTATAATGTCAAAATCAATTTTATCGATAATCTCTTGGGGTGAGATTACAGATCTGCAAATA